GCATCTCAAGGACTTGCCGTAACATCTTCAGTTGTACGGTGTAAGCCAAAGTCAAATGCAGCATATATAGAGAAATTCATAGTATCGGCAACTTCCCCAGAATCCAGCCCCTTGCCACTGTGAAGTGAAGGGCTCCTGTGAAGTGAGGAGGGTGCCATGCTTGTGTAGGGTCAATCAGAGGAGTCTTCCTGAAGGAGGTGCCCAGGGAAGGAGCAGAATCCAGGAGTCAGATCCAGAGTCGAGGCTCTGAGGAGCTGGGAGGAGCTGGAAAGAATAATTTCAAGAGCTTTAACTGTCTCTCTCCCAATAGCCACCCAGCCCCACCCAAACGCCTCGACATCTACTTCCTTTAGAGGGGCCATTGTGGAGAGAGGGTGCAGGGGCAATATTTTGGAATCAGGCTCCACTCGCTCCCACCCTGGAAGGGGTGGGGGCTCCTGGGGTGAGCTCCCTTGGGCCTCTGTCCTTGGCTGGGATCCCCACTGGTCTGAGCAGCTGGAATGGAATGTTCCTGGGATAAAAAGCCTGCCCCCTCCTCCACCTCTTCCCTTATGGAGCTCCTCAGGGACTGTCATGGGGGGGAGAAGGGGGACTGTTCCAGGGATGCCTGATATGGCGATGCTCTGGAGAAGCAAAGGCCCACACTGCCTGGGGGCTCTGTCCTGGCAGCTTCTCCTGGGCTAGGTAGGTTGGCTCCAACGAACATTTACAGACCTCCTCTATGTGCTAGGCACTTAGTGTGACCTCTCATTTAATACTCAGAAATAATCTCCTCCCTAACTCCCCATAAAACACACACACACACACACACACACACACACACACACACACACACACACACACACGAAAGTGGCTCAGAGAAGAGAAGTCACTTGCCCAAGGTCTCCCAGCTGAGAAGCTCCAGGTCAGGACTAAATCCCAGGTCTGTCTAGTTCTAAGATGGGACACTTTCTGCCCCACCATGGAGCCTGTCACCCTCTTCCTCTGCCATCCCAGGCTCTTTGCTCTCCTTGGCACCAAACACGCCAGCCCAAGTACGCAGGGAGAGGAGGCAGCCTCCAAGGCAAGCCCAGGCCCTGAGCATCCTTGGCCTGCCCTTGCCTGAAGCCAGGTGTGCTGACTCAGCCTGACTTACCCTCCAAAGCCCAGACAACCAAGCAGGGGAGCCAGCCTCTGGGGGTATGCCCAGACCTTGGAGGGGTGGCAGAAGATGCCACCTTCTGCCACCCCTCCAATGTCTGATCACATCCCTCCCCAGAACCAAGGACCAGGGTTCACTGTACCCAGACTCAAAGGGTGAGAGTTCAGAAACCCTCATTAGCCTGATAAATGGAGCCCTCATTAGCCTGATAAATGAAAAGCCACATAGCCTAATGTTTAAGGTGTCCCCCACTTAGAGGTTCTATGTCCTTGGGCAAGTCACCTGCCCCCCCTGACCCTCAGTTTCCTCATCTGTGGAAATGGGGCTAACTCCTACTCTGCAGAGTAGCTGGGAGGACTGAAAGAGATAATGGGTGTAAAGTGCTTAGCACAGTGCCTGGCATAGAGGTGGTGGTTAATATATTATGCCACAACCAAGAAGTCCCTTCCCCCATCACTCCTAGCCAGCGTGCGGTCAAGGTCTAATGTGGAAAGAAATAGGCTGGGGATCTCCCAGCTTTCCCAAATACCTCCTCCCGTGCTGGCTGTAAAGCAGGGGAGGAGGTAAAGGCTCTGCTTCTCCTTCAGCCCAGAGAAGACTGGGACCCCGGGTTTTTCTCCAGGGACCTGGCTGTTAGGGGAAGGGAGCCTCCTAGAGACTGCCCACTGCAAGACTGGAGCACTTTAGCTGTGAATTGTCGCTTCAGCCTAACCTCTAGGAAGCCACCTTGATTCCCAGGTGGCGGCGGGGGCAGCGGCAGGATGGGGTGTTCTGATCAATTATCAGTGTAACAAATCTGGGAGGAGTGAAACTACTCTGGGCTTTTACTCAGACCGTGACGGCCAACAGGGGCAACCTCTCTCTCTCCAGGAAAGTCTTTCCTGATGGACCTTCCCTCTGAGGTCAGAGGCACCCCCTTCTCTAAGTGACCACCAGTACCCACACGTTCTGCCAGACCTTTAAAGCTCAAAGCCTGAGAGGCCTGGGCAACAAGGGAAGAGGCTGGCTGGAGGCGGGGACACTGTGGGTTCCCAGCCTGCTCCAGGCCTTGCCCGCACGCCCAGAGAAGCGGCCCACACTGCCCTCTGGTGGCGCCGCCCAGAGGCGCCTCACTTGTCAGGGACCAGCCAAGAGAGCGAAAGGGCTCATCCAGGGGAGGGGCAGGGCCTGACTAAAACCCTGAACTCGTCTTCCAGCCCCTCACTTCCCTCAGCTGACATTCCAGATTCACTGGTGGCAATCAATGTCCTCACGGCACAGATCCCCCAGGATCCCCTGTACTCAGTCCAGTCCCCAGGGCTAGAATGCTGGGCCATCTAGAAAGTGTTCAGGAAGTCATGCAGGGTGGGGATGCAGTATGTAACCAGGGGCTATAGTTACTTGTGAAGGCCTAAAAACAGCCCTCCAACATCGCCAGGGCAGGCTGCCTAGAAGAGGGCTGAGAGACACAAGTCCTTGAAAACAGAGACCCTCTGATTCAGTGCTGCTTCTTGAGCCCCTGGACTGAGCAGAGATCAATGTTTGTTGATTGAGGAGAGTATGAAGCCTTCCAGAGGGGCCCTGGGTGGGCCAGACAGTGGTGGGAAGGTGGCTTTTATTAACTGGCTGAGGAGTAGTGGACAGAGCACTGAACCAAGAGCTGGGGTTCAAGTCACTGAACACTGTGTGCCCTGGCCGAGGCCCTTACTGAGAAGCGTGGGACATCTGGAAGTGGAGGGAGGGGACAGAGCTGCCTGTGACACTAGGACCAATCTCCATTTCCTACATATACCACTTTCTCCAGCAAGAGCCATCTCTAATTCCCTACCCGCCCCACCCCCACACACCAAAATCAGGACAAAGCTGATTACCAATAAATCCCAGAGAAAGGCAAAATTGTGGTGACACAGAGCACTTTACACCATTAGCTAAAAGCTTCTCTGGACCAAGTGTCCCTCTCCCATGCAACCCAGAAAACAAACAGTCCTGGCTGCAGCCCAGCGCTGAAGCCTGAGCTCCTCACTGTGTCACCTCCAGGGAGTCCTTGTCCTTTCTGGGCCTCTAGACCCCAAATGACCCAAGTAGCTTTGGAAGGTCCTCTCTCTCTGGGGAGGCCAGAGGATGCCAGGGCCCCTCACTGCTCTCCCAGTCCACAAGCTCTCAGAGACTCTGAGACCCTCTCCTGGACTTCCCTTCCCCAGCTAAGAATGGGTTCAGGAAGTCCTGGCTGTTAGCTGAGAAACCAGGCAAAAGGTTTGGTCTGGGAAGTGGAAGAGCTAGCTGGGGGAAGGACAGGTGAGGGCCCCTGGGTCTCTGCCTTTCAGAGCAGTGCACCTGACCCTGAGGACTCTGGGATTACACCAGATTCCTGTGACTCTTAATTATCTCATTCTACACCCTTCTCCCCATTCCTAAGCCCTGACATGAGGAGGGACAGCTACACTCAGAGAGGGACTGAGGAAACTGGCCCAAAGACAGGGCAGAGTTGTTCTAGGTCACACGGCAGACAAGCTGACACCAGTTCTATCTAGCCCCTGCCCCTGGACAGTGGAGAGATACTGCGAGAAGGACACACACAGGCCTAGGACCTAGTTCTGTCCCTAGCTGACCTTGCCACTCCGTAAAATGAGGACTTTAAATCAGCTCCTAGGCTCCATCAGCAAAAGCAGTGCCTCTTTCTAGGTGTGATATAAGAGAATAAAACATTCTTCCGTGATTTATGGGAAAAGACAGACCTCTGCCCTGTGTTAACCTCACTACAACCCTTCCAAGAGGTGAAGATACCCACATCACAGACTGATAAGTGAGGCTGCAGTCAACTCAGCCAGTGAGCAGCAACGCAGCAGCCAGGCCATTCACAGCTGAGTGGGGCAGGGGAATGGGGGGGCCTGAAGGGCATGTGGAAAGGAAGAGAAGCAGATCTCATTTCAGATCTGGGCCTTTAAGGCCCCACTTTCTAGAATCTAGAAGCCAATGACATTCCTGCCACCCTGGGGCCTGTTAAAGGATGTCACCTGGCTCCATCCCTGGCAGAGCCATCTTAGTGACAGGTTGGGAGGGAGCCCCTAGGAGAGCTGGCAAAGCTTCAGGCAGTCACCAAACACCCCACCCTGGTCATCTGAGTCAGACTGTACTCTTAGCGAAGCTGCATGAGGGCCTGAGAAAAGACCTGTCTCCTAGAAGTGGAAGGTCCTAAGTATAAGTATGATGGGAGCAAATCCATAGCGTCTCTGGGATTCCATCTCCCCAAATGGGAAACAGGGGCTTAGGAGAGGAGAACTCGGAGGTACATCGCTGTGCCAGCCCCCACCCCATCCTGGGGCCTCATTATTCTGGCCTCCCGGAGGGTAGTGCCAGAAAGCTGCAGCCTCAAGGGCAAGACTCTTCTTACAGCCCCAAGGGACCCAGGAAATGCACCGCTGGTGGAAGGTGAGGGTGGGGTGTTGCGTCAGTGCAGGAGGCTCCAACAGGTAAAAGTTTGCTGGCAAACCCCTTCTGGGATCTGAGCAGCCTCCATTTGTCCAACTCTATAATGGGGACTTGGTGCTACCACCTTATTCCGCCAGAGGTCTGGGAGTGGCAGCAACAGAAAGCGGACAGCTTTATTAAGGACCCAGCGGACTCCAGAAGCCCTAGGGAAGGAGGTCTGGAGCCTTGCACCGCCCCGCCCCGCCCCGCCCCACGGATGCACCTGCCGCAAGGACCGCACCTCAGTTTAGCCTTCTTTACTGGGCCCTCGGCCCCCCGACTGTCTCCTCCTGGGGTCGGGCAATCTGTCCATCCGCGTCGGTGACGCCGTCCATCCAGCCGGCGTCCACAATCCGTCGGTCGGCACCTCGGCGATGGCCTGTCGGGGTGGCCAAAGGTCCCGGCGCGGAGGTCAGCGCTGGGGGGAGGCGGGGCCGCGGGGCGGGCTCCGGCGGAAGGGCGAATCGGGCTCGGGGCAGTGGCCCCGCCGCAGGCGCCCGGCACCCCAGGGCACGCAGCCGCCCAGACCGAGCGCAGAGGCAAGCAGCGCGGGCGGGCGGCCGCGGCGGCCGCGGCGCGAGCCCTTCTTGAGGCGTGACCCGTGCGCCGCCAGATAGAGCTCGGCCTGCGCCACGCCGCCGCCCAGGCGGCCCAGGCTTTCGGCGCGGTGCGCCAGGCGCAGCTCGGCCGCCAGGAAGACGCAGTGCAGCTGCAGCACGCGGCTCTCCAGCTCCGACACCAGGCGCCGGCGGCCCTCCACCTCCAGCAGTCGCCGCCGCGCTTCGGCCAGCTCAAGCGCGCGGCCTCCTGCCGCCGCCGCCGCCGCCGCCGCCGCCGCCGCGCCCGGGCCGCCGCCCGCGCCCCCTGCCGGCCCGGTGCGCCCCGCGCCCCCGCTAGCGCCCTGGCGCCAGCGCTGCAGCTCCTGCCCCTCGGCCGAGCCCGCCGACTCCTGGGCCACTTCGGGCTGCGGTGAGGCCTGAGCCGGGGTCGGGGTCAAGGTCGGAGCTGGGGACGGGGGCTGAGGGGAGAATAGGCGCTCCCGGGGCGGCGGCGATGGGGACCCCGGTTCCGCCGACCCTTCCTGGGCCCCCGGGCCGCAGGCGCTGATGCGGCAGCCCGGCATCCCCCGCCCCCCGGCGGTCCGCAGCAGTAGGTCCGCGGGTCTGGCCGGCTGTCCCCCACGCTGGGAAGGATAGAGGCCTCAAAACAGAGAGAGGCGCGGCCGCAACCCCCACACTAGCGCCAAGGCAGCCGCGGGTGCGTCTTATAGGCTATGGGGCGGAGCGAAGGGCAGCACAGCCAGTCAAAGACTAGCATGCCCTGAGCCCTCCTCCCCTGCCCCGCCCCGTCAGGACACTGCCCAAACCCTTCAGCTCCCTGGTCCTTCGACCCAGGCTCCTCTGCTAGGGCATCCAGTCCCTATCCACCTCCTCCAAATTTTGGGTGGGAAGGGGACCGCATCTTCTCTAGCCTGGCCCCTGAGTCATAAGCTCTAGTAGCTAGTGCTTATAAATCATGGACTCCAGTCCCCACCTGTGGTAGGCTTTTGCCTGAAGCCACACTATGTGACAGTGAAAGCCTGAGACACAACTCAGGAGGCTTGTCTCCTTGCACATACCAAACGCTGCCCCTTGGCTGAATCGGCTCTACCTGGTCTCCTGTGCCGCAAACTTCACCAGGACCACCTTCTCCAATCTCCCTGCGGCCATGGAGAGGTTAACACAGAGGGGCGACTGGCCTCCTAGTGGGGATCTGGCAGTGTTGGTTCCTCACCAGGCAAGCCCTTCACTTGCAGAACAAACCTCAGCACTGCTGTTGAGCTTGGCGCGGCTTTCGCACATCTTGGTGGCCCCCCAGGGGAGCCCCACCCCTCAGTGGGCAAAATTCTTTCCAAGCCCCTGCTCCTGTCTGCTCCTCCCAGTAGGTGTCCCCACACCTATCACACAGCGGGAAACAGACCCAGAAGGTGTAGTGGAGCCTTGCCCAAGGTCCGTGGCTCAATCTGGACCGCCGAAAGGGACAAGCTCATCCATTCATGCCCTCTGGGAACTCAGATACCTGGGTCTCCTCACTGTCATTGAGGGGACCCTGCTTAACTGGGAGTTTAGTCATACTGGCAAAACGATAGAACTGAGCTCTAGCCATTTTTCCCACAGCGGAAGTGATCTTGCCACACCACTCCAAACATTGACCCAGACAACATGGCACTGCCATCCACTTGAAAGTGCCATCAGAAATGAAAGGGCTCTGTGTTGGGCGGTGGCAGGGGCTGGAGGGCCAGAAACCAGCTGAGACCAATTGGGAAGAACTGCAGCTGACCGTGGGCTCAGGGGACCTGCCGAAATTGTGGCCAGTGTGATTACCGCCCCAGGCTGAAGAGGAGGCTGATGGGGGCGCTGCACTGGCTTGATGTGGAGAAGGAGGACTTTGGAGCACACCCCACCCCCACACCACCCCGCCCCACCCCCGCATCATGTTCTCTAAGTGCTTTTAAGTGCCTTAGATTGAGTGATTGGGATTCGTGGGCGAGACAGCTCGGCTCCTGAGAGGCAGCTCAGAAGGGGCTCGGAGAGGACGGTGAGGTCCATGAGGGGGCGTCAAGCTCAGTGAAGGGTAAGGGAGGAGGACTTTGAAGGAGGGAGTGAGGGGGAGGGTGTTCAGTGACGGGAGTAGCGGAGGCTCAGGGCAGGGCGAGGGGAGGGGCTCAGTGAGGGAGGGGCTCAGTGAATGTGATGGGCTCAGTGAGGGGAGAGGGGTTTAGTGGGTGCATTGGTGCTAGAGGCTCACAGAGGGAGAAGAAGGGAAATTCAGTGAGGAGGATGGGGTTCAGGGAGTCAGAGGGGCTCAATGGGGATGACGGAATGCCCTGCTGAATGGTTCATCCCTTTGAATGGTCTCCTTTGTGTCATCAAACTTTGTGTCTTTCTCTGTGCAGAAGATCCCTCCCCCATCACTGTGGGGAGATCTACAGGTGTTTTGCCTGCATCAGGCAGATCCCTGCTCCCAACTTCTGGGGATGAACCAAGACGAACAAGACTAGGACTTACCCCCACCTCCCACCATCAGCCAGATCCAGAGAACCAGTCAGATCTGAGTTCAAATCCCACACACACTGCCCATCTGGGTTACCTTGGGCAAGTTGTTTCTCTGAATAGAAGGAGATACTCAACCTATATTTGTTGAACAGGTGGACATTCTCTCTCCACAGTACCCCTAAAGGAGGGGCATCAGCAGCCTTTGTTCCTGATGAGAAACCAAAGCCCAGAGAAGTGAAGAGACTCGCTCAAGGTCACACAGCAGATAAGTGGCCAAACAAAGATTCAAACACAGATGTGACCCACCCCAAAGTCATAGCTCACCTTCCTGCTGTTCTCTGATATGTCCCCTGTTCCTATCCTCTATGGCATTTCCCACTAGTCATATATAAATATGTATTTATTTATAGTTTAGTTACTTAACAGTCTCTCCTTAGACTGGTTTTGCTTAGCATCAGATTCCCTGAAGTTAGGTAGAGTGCCTGGCCCCATAAGGCCACTCAAATGATATTTGTTTGAATTGAAAAATAATACAAGGGTAGACAGAGCTAGTTGAGAATAGAGAAGTCCCCTTCCTCATTCATTCATTTATCCATTCATTCTTTATTTCACTCACTCAACAAATTTGGTCATTACCTTCTCTGTTGAGCTGGCTGCTGAAGGTACAGCAGTGATCAGGTGGGGTCCTGCCCTCAGAGACCACACAGCCTAGGGAGGACACAGGTGACTGCAGTTCAGTGAGGTATCTCCTGGGATAGGAGAAACACAGTGGCTGTGCGAACGCAGAGCAGACACTGAGCTGGGTGGGGAGGGGATCAGAGAGAGTTCCCTGCAGAAGACGATATTTAAACTGAGACCTGAAGGATGAGTCAAAGTGTGAGATGGATGCACAGATGGCGGAGGGACAGGAAGGGAGGATTCAGGGTAGGAACAGCACGTGTACAGGATCAGAGGTGAGAGAGCTTTGGCATCTGCCAGCTTCCTTCCCAGCTTCCTTAATTGCCCTGAGCTCCATGCTCCCAAGAATGGGCAGGGGACACAGCCAACCACCTCTTAGGGCACAACCAGCCTGGCAAACACAACATTAGGAATTAGAAAATACACTTTTATTTTTTTTTTAATTTATTTATTTTTGGCTGCATTGGGTCTTCATTGCTGCACACGGGCTTTCTCTAGTTGTGGCGAGCAGGGGCTACTCTTCGTTGCGGTGAGCAGGCTTCTCATTGCAGTGGCTTCTCTTGTTGCGGAGCACGGGCTCTAGGTGTGCGGGCTTCAGTAGTTGTGGCACGCGGGCTCAGTAGTTGTGGCTCGCAGGCTCTAGAGCACAGGCTCAGTAGTTGTGGCGCATGGGCTTAGTTGCTCCATGGCACGTGGGATCTTCCCGTACCAGGGCTCGAACTCGTGTGCCCTGCATTGGCAGGCGGATTCTTAACCACTGTGCCACCAGGGAAGCCCTAGAAAATACACTTTTAAATTATAATGATTATTCTTTTTTTCTGATCTTCATCAAAGTTATGCATTCCTTTTGTAGGAAAGATAGGAAATAGAGAAAATACTAAAATATAAAAAAAAGAATAGAGAGGAAAGGCATCTGGAATTGGAGAGACTTGAATTTGAATTGAAGCTCAGTTCTTTCCTAGCTGCACATCACTGAGAAATGCACTTTTTCTCTGTGAACTTCAGGGCCTGAGGCATGGAACCACTAATACTTACGGCACAAAGACCTACAAAGGTCAAGGATTTGTCCAAGGTCTCACAGCGAGTCATGTCTCTCTGTGGTCTGAGTCAGAGACCTTGAGAGGTCTCTTTCAAGAGACCTTGAAAGAGAAGAGGCAGCCCAGGGGGGACGTGGTTTCAGAGTCCTGTCCGTTATACACACTCTCCTTCCAGGACAGCAGCCGGTGGAGACAGAACCTTACGGAGGGAATGGCAAGTGCAGCTGTGGCCCAAAGCAGGATCCCCTCAGCTGAGAGTGGGGTGGGGCAGGAGGTCAAGGCTTGAAAAGTCGACTTCTATCCCAGCCTAGGAGATTCAAGGCCTCTGCTCAGAGATCCAACCCCTCCCTTTCAGTCTCTTCCTGGCAACCTGGCCTGGCACCCTCTAGGATGTGATATCAGTTTAATAATTTAGCAGATGCAGACAAAGATAGCAACTCTGAAAATAACCCAGCTAGGCCCCAGCCTCCATCTCCTCTTTCCTCAGCAGACTCCTCTGCCCTCCCCGCAAGGACTCTGGCTGCCCCACATACCTGTCAGTGCCCCTGCCTGCCAGTGGGCACCAGATCCAACACCTCTTCCTTCTTCCAAACTTCTCCCCCTCACCTCCCCTTTCTCCATTCTCATATTAAGAGCTTTTATATTAATTAGAGCTTAAAGGAATCTTGGGCTAGAAGTCAGAAAACTTGAGTTTAATTCATCTTGTGGACTAGAGCGAGTCCCTTCTCCTTGCTAAGCCTCTGTTCCCACATTTGCCAAATGAGGCCACTGGATTCCTAAATGTGGCATGAACAACATGTTTGGGTGGGGGGAGGACAGCAGCTCAGACAGGGCACTGGATATCTTTCCCAGGAAGTCACAGCTGCAGTGTCAGCCGTCTCAGTCAACAGCACTGCAACCCATCCTGCTACTCCAACCAGAGAGCTCACAGGTTTTCTTTTTCTTTCTTTGCCTTTAAAATTTCTCTTGTGATGAAAAATTTTCCCTGGTTCTTATTCCTAGAATAAAAGGCTGTGACTTGTGTTCACAGCGGATGTAGGGCTCTGTTGGTTCCACGTGCTTTTGGTGTTTCATCACGTTTCTGACAAGTAGGAGTTTTGCTTCCCTCTGGAAAGTTGGAGAGAGCAATACCCCTTCCCCCTTGAAGCTTTACTCAAATCACCCCACCTTTATGGGTCTCAGTTTTCACAGCTCTAAAATGGCCAGGTGTTGAAGGGTAAGAAGGACAAGGTTAGATTCCATGCTCTCTAGATTGTAAGCTCCAAAAGGGGTGAGTTCGGGTCTGCCTTTGTGCATTCATTCGGCAATGTAATTAGGCACATACCATGTACCAGCCACTGTGCAAGGTGCTAGGGGCACAGCAATAAATAAGA